GGCCCTGCGGTCCGAAACCTCCCGGTCCGGCAGGCCGTGGAGGCGGAAGATGTGTTGCAGGAACAGGCGAGCTGTGGTGCGGGCCGAGGGCAGGCCGTGGCACGGGATAAAATGTGCCATCTTTGTGAGCGCATCTACCACCACGAGGACAGTCGTGAACGTAGCGGACAGGGGCAGGTCCATCAGGAAGTCCATGGAGATGGCTCCCCACAGTCTCTCCGGTGTCGGCAGTGGCTGGAGGAGTCCAGGAGGGGGGCCGGAGGCGGCTTTGGCCTGTCGGCATGTCACATAGGACGTCACGTACGCGTGCATGTTGTGCCATACCCGAGGCCACCAAAAAGTCCGTGTCACCAGGTTCAAGGTCTTAAAGAAGCCGAAGTGCCCTGCCGCGGGGTTGACATGGCACTGGTTCATGACGAGGGCTCGGAGCGGACTCGTGGGCACGTACAGCCAACCCCGGTGCCTGAGCAAGCCCTCCTCCATGGTCCATGGGGACGCGGGGCCGACGTCCATTTTCCGCTGCTGCGACCAGTCATCCTGTCACTGCGCTTCCAGCACCTGAGCCCGCAGGTCCACCGGTTCCTGGACCGCGGCCAAGGATTCCGCTGGCAGCACCGTCCGGGGGGGGGGGGGAAGGGAGTCCTTGGGGCAAAAGTATTCCGGTTTACAGGATAGCGCGTCCGCCCTCTGGTTGAGGCTGCTCAGAATGTACGTGACGTGGAAGTTGAACTGGGCGAAAAACAACGACCACCGGTTCTGCCGCTGGTTCAACTTCCTGGCCGTGGTGAGGTGCTCCAGGTTCTGATGGTCCGTCCGCACCTCCACCTGGTGTCGGGCCCCCTCGAGGTGATGTCGCCAAGCCTCGAACGCGGCCTTGATAGCCAGCAACTCCTTCTCCCAGATGGTGTAGTTGCGCTCGGAAGGATTGAGTTTCTGGGAGTAATAAGTGCAGGGAAAAAGAGTGCCACCATCCACCGGAGCCTGTAGCAGCACCGCCCCAATCGCCACGTTGGACGCGTCCGTCTCGACCATGAACGGACGGTGTGGATTGGGGTGCCTCAGGACCAGCTCCGTGACGAAGGCCTGCTTGAGGATCTTGAAGGCCTGCTGCTGCGGGCCCCCCCACTGGAACGGGACCTTCTTCTGAAGGAGTTGGGTCAACGGCAAGGTCAGTGTGGCGAAGCCCGGGATGAAGGTCCGGTAGTAGTTGGCGAATCCCAACAGACGCTGGACGTCCTTCACCCGACGTGGGGGTTTCCAACTGCGCAAGGCCTCCACCTTGTGTGGGTCCATTGCGATGCCCTCGGGGGTGATGATGTGCCCGAGGAACTCTATGGAAGTCTGGAAGAAGTAGCATTTCTCCAACTTCGCATAGAGCTGGTGCTCCCGCAGGCGCTGCAGGACCTGGCGGACATGCTGGAGGTGGCTTTCCTGGGTCCGGGAATAGATCAAAATATTGTCCAGGTAGATCACCACGAACCGGTCCAGCATGTCCCGGAACACGTCATTCATCAAGTGCTGGAAGACCGCGGGGGCGTTGGTCAACCCGAACGGCATGACGGTATACTCGAAGTGTCCGTACCGGGTGCCGAACGCCGTCTTCCACTTGTCCCCCTCTCGCATGCGCACCAGGTTGTAGGCCCCTCGGAGATCGAGCTTAGTGAAGATCGAGGCCTCTCGCAACTTCTCCATCAGCTCCGGGATCAGCGGCAGGGGGTAGCGATTCCGCACTGTGATGGCATTCAAGCGCCGGTAGTCGCAACACAGGCGTAAGTCCCCCGTCTTCTTCTTCATGAAGAGGACCGGGGCCGAAAGCGGGGAGGTCGAAGGCCGGATGAACCCACGGGCCAGGTTCTCTTCGAGAAAGTCCCGTAAGGTGGCCAGCTCGGGCTCCGACATGGAGTACAGGCATCCCGAGGGCAGGGGCGCATTGGGCAGCAGGTCCACCGTGCAGTCGTAGGGTCGGTGCGGGGGCAAGCGGTCCGCTTCCTTCTCGCTGAACACGTCGGCGAAGGACGTCAGCTCCAGAGGCAAGGAGACGTTCGGGGCGGAGACATCCTGGCCGGCACAGGTGTGGCGGAGGTGGTCGACACACTGCAGGCTCGGGAACGAGATGGCGTTTCTCGATCATGCCACCTGAGGATCGTGCGCCCGAAGCCAGGCCATCCCCAGGACCAAAGAAAAGTGCAGGTCCGCTGTCACATAAAACTGGATCGCCTCCTCGTGGTTCCCAATGGCGAGGCACAAGGGCTGGGTAGCGAATTTGATGGGCCCCGCCACGAGTTCCCGCCCATCGATAGTCTCGACCCGCAATGGAGGGTCCACCGGAACCAAGGGGACTTTAAAATGGGCCACAAAGGCCTGGTCCATGAAGTTCGTGGTGGCCCCCGAGTCCACCAGCGTGTGTGCCTGAAGCCCCTCCGACCGATTGGCCAACAACACCCAGGTGTTCAAAATCAGGTGCCGAGGGGGCTCACAGTCCACAGCCGCCGACTCCGGCAGGGCCTGGTCACGTGCCTGGCCCAGGGTTTCCCCTAGGCCAGGCCTGGCCCGTTTCCTGGCTGGTCACGCCGAGACTCCGGAACAGGCTTGAGCGCTCCACTCCGCTTCCTGGAACACAAGGCGGGAAAATGTCCAGCCTCGCCACAATAGAGGCACAACCCCCCTTGGCGTCTCCGCATCCGCTCCTGCGCCATCAGTTGAGGTCTGGCTGCTCCGAGCTCCATGGGCTCCTCAGCTGTCGCCACAAAGCACGGTGTGGTCCGGGGCGCTGTCGGTGCAAAACGCGGGGGTGCCGAAGCTGTCAGTGGTTCCGGAAAGGACCGATGGGGCCATTGCCGTTGAAGGCGGGCATCGATGCGCAGGCATTGGGTCACCAGCGCGTCGAGGGTCTGTGGCGCCTCCACGCGAACCAGCTCGTCCTGCAGCTCGTCGGAGAGGCCGTCCTGGAAAGCATCCATCAGCGCTGCCTCATTCCAAGCCGAATCCTGGCCTAGAAGTCGGAACTCCGCAATATAGTCCTGCAGGGGGCGCTTCCCTTGGCGGAGGTCCTTAATGCGCCTCGCTGCCGTCTGCACCCGGAGGGGGTCTTCATACATGGTGTGCAGGTGTTGCAAAAAGCCCTGATAGTCCAGGAGCAAGGGGCTATTTTGCAGCAACAGGGGTGTGGACCATTGGGCGGCAGAGCCAGAGAGGGAGCTAATCACAAATGCCACCCGAGCCCGGTCATCCGGAAAATCCTCTGGCCTCATCGCCATGAAAAGTTGGCATTGTCCCATGAAGGCCGGGAACATCTCCTGCTGCCCAGAAAGCCTATCTGGCACGTTCACTGGGCATCTCGGACGGGGAGGGGGAGGATGGGGAGCTGCAGGAGCATTTCCCAAAGCAAGTTGAGCAGTTAGCTGTGCCACTTGCTGCTGCAGAAGCTGATTGGCCTCTAGCATCTGCTGTACCTGCTGCTGCAGCTGTTGGTCCATCGTGGGTTAATGATGGAGTATGTGTTGGTGACGAACAAGATGTTCTGTCCCTATCTCCACACACACACAAACACAGCCAGCCAAGGGTTAAGAAAGCACTTGGCACGCACACAGGTTGTTATCTAAAACTTGGCAGCTTTACGAGCATCGACTGCCAAGGGCTTTACTTCATCAGATAAACAGAAAATACATACAAATTGCAAATAGTCCAGTTCAAAACAAGGAACCTTCGGCAGATTTAGGCGTTGTTCAAGTGACTAGCCAGAGTTAGTTTTTGTTTGTCACAGAGTCTTAAATGGCCACCACACTCTCTTATATAGTCTCTGGGGTGTGGTCCAGTGACTCAGTTATAATCCCTGGCACGCCTCCTTAACTGCTGCAATCGTTTATCACGCCTTCGTTGGCGTGGATTCAGGAATGACAGATCACCTCCCTCGCTCTCATCGGAGACACCTGGCTCCTGGCTAATCTCCTCTTCCTCGGCCGGCACTTGAGGCAGTGCCAGAGGGGAGGGGCCTGGAGAGGGAGGCCTGGCCAACTCCTCTTCTTCATGTTCGGAGCCTTCTTCCTCTGATGAGATAGGCTCGGAGGGCGGGGCCACAACAGACTACCTGTAGATAGATGATTTATTCCCCATGCTGGCTGGGAAAATTTTGGGAGATTTTAAGGTTGCTGAGGTTGAGAAACACTGCCATAGATCATATCATAATGTGAATAAAATGTTAAGCACGTGTACAAAATATATAGCATAGACAACTGAATAATATATAAATGTACAAATGCTGAAGGGTCAAGCTTTATAATGGCATACAAGAAATACATGTTTATTTAGAGGCTATGGACCCTAAACTGCCTTCAAATAGTGCAGAACGTAGCTAAATTTGTAGAGATTTCCATGTGTTTGTCATCCCAAAAGAATAAGGCTTTCTTCTCCTCTGACATACCAGAATAATTTAGCAGGAGGGGCCACTAGGTCTGAATGGAAAGGTATAGCCTAGGCTAAATATAATTAAGAATAAATCAATGGAACGAAAACAATTTCACCCAGAAATAAGTGTAAAGCAATTTGCAAGGACATCCATCTATCCAATCCTGTGTTTGTTATCTATGAAACCTTGAAGAATTAGAGTTCCCAGGTTTCCTTGAATGTTTGCCAAACCTGACTGGGAACTTAGCATAACCACATATACAAGGTTAACACTGAAAATCGTATTTTAGCTTTAGAATTTTTTTTAAATCACATGGTTACAGTTGCTATCAACATCATTCTGGAATGCTTTTGTTGATTGAAGATGATAGCTGAAAATTCAGAGGAAAAATTAAAGTAAAGCACAAGCATATTTAAGCATAATTGCCTTAAAAACCAAATTGGCAGTAATATAATCTATGTTTTTGTTAAAAATGAAACATCCCAGAAGACTGACTCTAGCACAGAAATGGCAAAAAAGCAACAACCCCAGCTCGTTTCAAGTAGCATGTGGACAGGATCCAGTCAAAATGAGCCACTTGTAAATTGAGTAAAGACTTGCTCAAATGTCACAGCTGCCATGGTGACTGTGAGGTGAGTCCAAAATATTTGTTGCCTTGCAGGTTTGCTTTGATTGCAAGGATACAGAGGACATGTTTGTAGGAATTGTTTAATGTGGTGTGAGCAAAGCTGCAATGTGGGGTGTAATTGCCACAGTAACATAAGTGCCATCATTCATGGTATTGTTGCTTTCGGCCATGTCCCATGACTGAAACACAAAACAGTGATCTTAAGCACACACTGGATGTATTTCTGGGAAGACTACTTTTTTCATACATGTAACACCTTTGCATGATTTTTCAGGAAAAGATTCCCATGTTTGTTTATTAGATTTATACCCCACTTTTATTTTGTGTAACCAAGATACCATACCTATTGCTCCCTTCTCCTACATCCCTTGCAATAAAAACCTTGTGAGGTATCTTGGACTAAGGGGCAACTAGAATCACCCAATCAGCTTCTGTGTCTAAGGGAGGATGAAAGCTCATAGGGTCCCACTCTCTAGTCCTGCACCTTAACTACTGTACCACAGAAACCTCCTTTAGACTGGGTTGATTTCTAAACTACCTATTTCAACACTGTGTAGAAATTCTTCTCCTAGTGCAGACTGGAGTCTTTCCCACCACCTGTCAGGATCTGGGTGACATCATCTGATGCTACTATTTTATGTTAAAAGGAAGTTTCATTCTTCGGTTAGGATTGTAGTCATCTAAGCCTAGATAATATCCATGTTTATTTAGAGCATAAATAACTAAAGCCAGTCCATTCTCTCTGGAAATTCTCTCTTGCAGTTAATTTAGCAGGTTACCTACAGAACCAGCTTCATCCCATCACATCAGCCCATCTCACTCATTCAGGCAGGGAAGGCATGCTACAGACCCCATCAATTGGAGAATTCCAACTGGTGGGGGTCAAGGAAGAGGACCTTTTCTGCTAATGCCCCCTGCTTCGTGGAAGATCTTGCTCCCAGAGGTGAGGAAAGCCGCCCAATTTTCTGACCTTTCACAAAGGGGTCAAAACCTCTCTACTAGCCTTGTATAGGGACACCAGGGCACACATAGCCATAGCACTGGTTGGTCCCATGAGCACCCCCTCCATACTTTTATTAACAACTCTTAGTTTCCCCATCTTGGATTTTTCCATTTCTTGCAATTTTATAATGTTTTACATTTTAAATTTTTTAATCTTAAATTATTTGGTTTTATTGTATTGATTAAATTATACACTGCCCAGAGCTCCTCTGTGAGGGAGATGGGCAGTTAAGGAGTTTGATAAACAAACAAACAAACAAACAAACAAACAAATATATACGCAAAAGACTCCTCACATAAGCCTGATGATGGCAGATGAGATTCTGTCGAAACGTCGCTTCTACCCTTTTAGGGATATATCCACAATTACACGGGAAGAAACCCGAAATATTAACTACACACACACACACACACACACACACACACACACACACACACATATATATGTAGGTCTTTGGTTATTCGGGTCTTCTCCCACGTAAAATTGGAGGTGTCTTGGCGATGTTTCGACGAAGTCTCATTCGTCATCTTCAGGCTGGTGTTCTCAGCTTCGTGCTTCCAGGAGCAATGTGAGATCGCAGCTGTCTCTTCCTTTTAACTGCTAGTGGGGGTGTGAGCTGATTGGGTGGGAACTTGGCTGTATTCTGATTGGGTGGAGGTGTGTTCTGATTGGTTAGGGGCTTGGCTGTGCTCTGATTGGATGGGGGGTTGGTTGTGCTCTGATTGGCTGGGGGTGTGTTCTGTTTTGGTGGGGGCTTGGTTGTGCTCAGCTTAGTCTGAGTTGCAGGGGGATTTGAGCTTGTGAGCTGCGTTGTTGTTGTTTGGCTTCATGTTTGTGGCCGTGCGAGCTCTTCATGGTGGGTGTCAGTCTGCTTCATGTATGGATTGGGGGGGTTTAAAGTGGCTAATGATGCAGCTGCGGTCTGGCTTCTGGTCCTTGGTCGTGGCTCATTATCAGTGTGGGTTTGAGTCTGCTTTCTGCGTGGATGTGTGGTGGTGACATCCTGTGTGGCTCTCGTGAGTGTGGGTCTGGTGTCATTCGTCGTGTTAGGGACTCGTTTGTCAATAAGGGCGGGTTTCCAAATGGCTGGTAGGCGGGAGGTATCGTCTTGTTTGTTCATGCTGTGTGGGCGTTTTTCTATCTCGATGGCTTCTCTGATTATTCTGTTGTTAAAGTGTTCAGTTTTGGCGATAGTTCTGGTCTTTTTAAAGTCAATATCATGTCCTGTGGCTTTAAGGTGTTGGACCAGGGAAGAAGTTGGTTCTCCTCCGTTGTTGTTTTTTTAAAAAAAACAAGTTTTATTGGTTTTTTCTCCTCTCCCACATTCACCTACATCTTTTTTTTTTTTTGAACAGTGTTGGCTGTTTCTTATCTTATACAATTAATCAAATTCATATACATTTTACTTAATTACAATTCTTGCCAAAATCGTCTTTCCCCTTTTCTTTTCTTTTTTAAACATATCTCAATATATCTCAATATTGCAGACATAAACACCATCTTCATTTGTCCCTAAATTCTAACTTTACTGCATATTTATTCTCTTTTATTCTTAAACAGTTCATTCTTTATCTTAATATATTTATATGTGTTTGTTTGGCATTGCCTTTCTTCCACTTCATCTTTTTTATTGTACAGCAATCTTTCTCCTCAAACCTACCCTCTCTCTCTTCCCTCTCCCTTCCTACTTTCTTTCCCCATCATCTTCTTCTCTTCTCCACTTCCCCTTCCCTTCTCCTTCTCCTCCTCTCTTCCCCTCTGTTTTACCTTCTCTCCTACTCTAATTTCCCTTCCCTTCCTTCCTCCCTACTCTTCCATCCTTCTCTCTCCTTCTTCCTCCCTTCCACCTCTCTTCTCCTCCTTCATCTCTCTCTATTGCTGTATTCATTTTCAATTTAATATTTTCCACTGTGGAGTTTCTCCTCCGTTGTTGATGCTACAGTTGTGATACAACCACACAGTTATGCTCGTTGCCACCACAAAGCCCTTCCAAAGCCCTTCCTCCCTTCCATTGTACAGAGTTGTTCAATATATTTTCTCATTAGCAAGAAAGCAGTCATTCTGATTCTTCATGTTTTCTTTTCTGGGTGAAATGTCATGACTTGGTTTTTTCCCCTCAGTTGCAAATGCAACCCAAAGTGAGCCATTTTGTGGCTACCTGTACTCACCCTTAGTCAGTTCCAGCTCATCTTTGCCCCATCATTTTTTCCTTCTTTTTCAGGACTGCTGGATTTCTCTCTTTTCACCACCTGTTTTCTACCAGACCACAGCAAAATATCAAAAAATGTCTGAACTACAAATGTTGCCAGTTGCCTGTAAGTCATGATTGTGCCAGTAAGTCATGATTGTGCAACTTTTTGGCTTGCCTGGGCCTTATCTAGTGAAGCAGAATTGCCTTGGGCCATATACAAAATATATAATATAGCTAATGTATATAAATAACACACTTCCTTTATTTTCTTGTGGGACTGCTTTACTAGCTGTCTATGGCCACATGTGGCCCACAGGCTGCGGGTTGGAGAAGCCTACACTAAATTATAAATTATACCTTTTTCTTAATTCAGAAAAGAGTAAAATAAATGAACTGAGCCAACTATTGATTTATAATTGGGTTGGGCAACATATAGCCCTCTGGAAGTTGAAATGTAATTTTCTTCCTCTTCCTCTTATTCTTCCTTCTTTGATATGTCCTAATATTGGTTGATGGGCTTTGTGCTTCAGCAATATCTGGAAGGCCATTGCTTCCTCTCTGATAGATTCCACATAGTCTACCCTCAATCAATCATTCAGTCATCCTTCAGCTTTTGGATCATGGTTGCTTGAAATAATATACTTAGGTTTGAGTTCTATAATGGTACTTCATAAATAAAATTGTCATTGTTTGTGCCCTGGCTTTTCTCTTTCTTGAAATAATAGATAGTAGTCTTTCTGTGTATTGGTATAAGTTTAGGTAGAGACATATACTACTTACCTGGAAAAGTTCTGCATAAAAATATTTAAGAACAGGTCAGATAGAAGCATTAAAATGTATTTGGGTGCTTGTCATTCATATAGGTTTTCTGTTTAAGCGAAATCAAAAGTAAACTTCTATGTTTTTGATACCATCACAGTTCAGTACAAAGAGCAATTCACATTGTACAAAGTAGGAAATTGCCAGATACAAAGTTCTGCTGATATGTACCATTTCAAATGCTTTCATCTCTATCTTAATTCATTTGTCACTGTTGACAGCAATGAATTTATGCTTGCAGAATTTTCCACCAGGTCTCCTGGAACAGATACTCTCTCAACTGGGAAAGCTCTTGTCATCAGTGGAGAGATACTCTCCTCCCAGCCTATTTCTCTACCACCTATCCTAAGCGTCTTTTGCTTTTGGTACTGCGTTCACCAGGTAAGGTCCTAACTACATCTGATCCAAAATGACCCCTGATAATCAGAGGAAGAGTTTCACAGAAGCAGACAGACTTGGCTCCAAAGCTTACTTAACTGCACTTGGCCAGATCTGTGGTAACTTTATGCTGAACAAAGCCATCTGGAACCACCATCTATGCTAATTTCTTTGCTATGGTTATTGCTAATGTTTAACAACCTCAATTAGGAATTCATAACATAACACATAACAAGTCCAGGCAAGACAAATCACCATTTTAAAAATATGTGAGGTTTCTTTTTTTTTCTTTGATTCATTGACTGAATGCCATGATTTGCATACTTTTGGGAAAGTACTATGCAATCTAAATGGTTGCCATAACTAAGTTTTAGTGCCAGCTTCCTGCTGTGTAAAATACAGGTAAGTCTGGCAAACATTTTTTTAAAAATTTCTCCACCGCCATGGGGATGTACACTGCTGTATTGAAATCCTAAGGGAAAAAGTCATCTGTTCCACTTGGTAAATTTGCAGGGGAAACTTGGGGCTAAAATTTACCAGCATGCAAGAAGGGCAAAAGATGGGTTCCACTTTTGGAAAAGGATACATATGTTTTTTAGTGCCAGATAGGCTTCACTGCAAACCACAGTCATTTATGATTTCACAAATTAGACCTGGAAGAGGTAGCTCCCATTTATTCCACATGGAAATCACAATTTCTTCCATGTCTAAACTCTCTTGCAGCCTATTTTGGGAATACTTATTTATAAAGATGCTGGCGAAAGAAGCTGAATAACCCTCCCTTTGGATTAAAACCCTATTTACTCATTCATTGAAAACTGAATCTAAAGAAACTAAAGAGGAAAGTGACTTGAAGATAAGGGGATGAGACAAGAAATAGAGATGCTTCCCACAATTCTACCTAGAATTATTTATCAATCTTCTTCATCCTTTCATCTAGTGGTACTTTGCATTTAAAAATAAACAATTCCCAAACAGAAGAATATAATAATGCAACTAGAACATAATGAAGAAAACAAAACAAAAAAACACACATAAGCATATTAGTACTAGTCTTCTTGTCTTGTTTTAGAAGCAAGGAAAGCAGAGACTGGGCATATAAAAAAAAATCCACTAAAAGCCTTGGTCTCTTGTATCTGTCAGTTTGATGATTAATGTCCAATACAAACTACAGTAAGGAACTCTAGAAAAATCTGATTTTGAAGTTAAATAAAAACTAACTAATCCTGTTAGTTTTTATTTACAATTTCAAGGCTTTCAATATCCCAAAAAGTTACTGTGGAAACAAATTAACCTTCATTAAATGAATTGTCTCAATCAATTGATAGCTATGCAAAAAAATGATGAAATTAAGTAACTATGGAACAGTTCAATTTTTATATGCAGAGTTGAAGAGAGAATGTTTGAGCACACAATAAACTGTAATACATAGCAATTGTCACCTAATTATGGGCATTTCTATAGTTCTGAAGATCATCCCTGCACCCAAGGGATGCATGTCTACATGTATATTGGAGCCTTATGCAAAAATGTTATGCTTTCTAATGATTTTATTGCTTTTGTAAATTTATTTACAATGCAAGTGTTGTCCCATGGGCCTGCCAGTTGTTGCTTCCAATTCATGCATATAACACTTTAAAAACATCACTCTGAACACTACATTCTTTGCCTCAGTTATTTCCTGTGGGAGGGGACTTCTGAGGTAGATTATAGGTTTCAAACTGAACTATTTCCTTAGATTCATTTTAAATTTACTGCATGTCAAATTGACTTGAGTTTTGCTCCCATAGTTGCTTACTGATAGGTCAGGATAAAAAGGAGCATCGGCTGGTTTTTCATCAAACTAGTCATTATCATGTATTCCAACCTTATAGAGGAGCAAGGCTTACTCATATAAACAGAAGTGTCTGAAAGGACATCCAGGAGTCTGGCTTCTTATGTGCAACCAAGAAATATCAACAAATTGACTTTAGAAAATCAGCACTTTTCTGTGTAACCAAAAAAAAATAATAATTAAGCAACAATTTTCTTCTTTCCATCTCCTTGAAATGAATATAGATTTATTAAGGAAGTTACATCAACCTTTCTCATGTGGAAAGGAAAGTTATCTTTTGTTTCTTGGCATACTTTGAATTGGCTGCAATAAATTGAAATACACTAGTAATGTCTAGGGGTTTTCAGCAAGGCTTTACCAGCTGTCAAAAATGCTGCATTAGTAATCACTGGCCCATTTAGATCCATTGGTTTTTAACAGTTAAAGCAAGAGAAAACACTATGGAAATGCTCATTCCATTTCCATCCCCCAGTTTTTCTGAAGGACTTTGAAGCTGACCTTAAACTGTCTACTGTTGACCTCACCCCATTTCTAAGAGGTCTGTAAGGGATGTGCATAAGTGCACCAGCGTGCCTACTGTCCCTGTCCTAATATTTCTTTTTACTCTTGCTCTTTTCATGTATTCAAATTATGTTTATACTTTTACCTGTTATATATGCTTGACAAAATAAATAAAATAAAATAAAATGTTCCCTCTAGCTGACCAAAGGCTATAAAAAGGAAACAAAAAGCCATATCGTTTGCCTCCTTTTCCTATTCATACTTTGTATGATTAGCTGGTGAGTTATAGAAATTGGAAGAATAACTGGGGAAAGCAACTGCAAAACTTCTAAGTCATTGTCCTTTTTTTAACCTGAAGTAACAGCATTCATTGAACTTCTATGACTTTGGATTTCTATTGAGAGGGGGAAATGAACCCAAGAGCCAGGATAATAAGAGAATAGGGAATCAGCCTGCCAAAATGCATTCCAGCTCTCAAGTGTAGCAATAGGGGAAATATTTAAACCTCAATTTGATATATATCATAATTGAGGTGCAAATAAATCATCCCAGAAAGCAAATAAAGGTAACAGAGTGGGATCACCTAGGTGTGGAGATGAATAGCTCAAAGATCCACCATGGACGCGTCCTGTATCTTTAGTGCTAGAATTATAATCATTGGAGAAGTCAGCTGGGATGTAAGAGGAAGTGACAGAGCAGTGTGTGTGAATAAGGTTGAAAGCTCACCAGTCTCCTAACTACTCAGGATGAACAGATGAATGTAAGCGAAGTACTGAGCAGCAATCAACTTGGTGGCGTCAGACTCTAGATGTTATCTCAAGAAAATACCGAACAAGACCTCCTGCTCTGAACTTTTCTGAAAATGAAGGAGTTGCAATTTTCCAGATTTTGTTGCCAGTACTAAGTAAATACAGATTTTGTTTATAATTTTATCCTGATTATCTCTTTTGAACAAACCATAAATGGAGAACTTTCTACTTAGCATTCTCCTGATCAGGGATATTGAGCTCCAAATTTAGTTGAGATGAGAAACAGACATGAAAAACTATTACTTTCAAGCTAGTTCATGGAACTGTTCTTCAGCTCTCCCAGCTCCAAGGATACACAGTGCTCATTCTTGCCTAGTTCACCTTATAAAAGAAAATATGAGAAAAGACTTAATTCAGTTATACGCAGAAAATATATGGATGCAGTGAACAGATTCATTCTTGCTGATTTACTTCTGATATCTGAACATGAGTGGGTCATCTGAAGTCTATCTGTATCAGTGATAAAATAGGCAATATAATAAAAATATATTGATACAATATACTGTAAATTATTAATTATATCAACAGAAATATCTCATAGACAATATACTATACATATTCTATGTGGCTCCCATGCACAAAAAGTTTGTTCAACACCATGAGATCAGAATAGGGCTCACTACTCCTATCCATGTATTAATTATACAGCAGTTATCTAAATAGGAATTTTCATTGCTTTATTAGAAACGTGGATTTTTGTTCATCTCATCAGTATCTTAATCAGGGGAAACTATTAAACCTGAGTCATTAAATTTCAGGAATACATAGCAAGATCT